TCGTCAGTGATAACGGCGCTCAATTTGTGTCGAGCGAGTTTGTACAGTTCCTGACCAGAAATGGTATTCGGCAAGTGACTTCTGCCCCGTTCCACCCCGCCTCGAACGGGCAGGCAGAACGTATGGTCCGCACGACCAAAGATGCGCTTGCCAAGCTAACATCCGGGGACTGGGGAGTTCAGGCTCCACCCAGACCTGAATGACTTGAGGCCCCAGCAGCAAGGAGTCCCCACTAAGGTCCGCACATACGAATGCGGAGATACTGTGTTCGCCAAGAACTATACTCGGGGACAGTCTTGGCTACCAGCCACTGTAACTGAAGTTGTTGGGTCACGCATGTACGTAGTCCTGCTTGCGGACGGGCGCAAGTGGAGACGGCATGTTGACCAGTTGAGGCAACGGTGGGCGACTGGCCGCCCCACCTCGCAGCCAACCGAGCTATCTGACCCCGATGACCATCCCATACCTCTGCCGGAGGTGAGTACTGCCGAGCCTGCCGAGCCCAGTACTGTCCCTGAGGGAGGGCAGACCCCTACTCTTGGACCCGCTGCAAGGGATGGTAGCGTACCTGACCCACTCGAGAGTGAGTCAATACTGGCCGCCCCACCTCGCAGCCAACCGAGCTATCTGACCCCGATGACCATCCCATACCTCTGCCGGAGGTGAGTACTGCCGAGCCTGCCGAGCCCAGTACTGTCCCTGAGGGAGGGCAGACCCCTACTCTTGGACCCGCTGCAAGGGATGGTAGCGTACCTGACCCACTCGAGAGTGAGTCAAGCCAAGTGCCTCCATTTCAGAGGTGCCCTGAACCTCCTACGCTGCGGAGGTCTCAGCGAATTCGCAGAGTGCCCACCTATCTAAGCAAATATGACTGTACATAATGTTTTTGCTTAGGGGGGAGGGATTTGTTATGTATTGACTTGAATGTAGATACTGACATGCGAATCGCCTGATTGAAAACCAATGTTAAGCTTCAGCCTGGGCTAGGATCCTAATGTAACCAATAGGAGTCCTAGCCCAGAGAGTGTCTACCAATCACGCTGTAAAGCGGGACCGCTTGTGATTGGGCTTTATATCTTCAACCTCATAGGTTGTTATTTGTACAGGGGGTGTGGCTACACTAGCCGGGAATGTTTAAATATCGACAAGCCAGTGTATGTAAGTTGTTCTCGTTCTGTTCTGATGATGGATTCTGGCTGGCGATCGTTGTAACTAAGCTGAAGAATAAACCGCATTCTTGCTGAAATCACTCTCCGACTCTTGTTAAGCGCCGACTTAACACACAGGAAATGATGTCATCACACTGACCCTGCTGCAATGCACTGGCATTTGGGCAAAAACGCTATGGTAAAAAAACAGCTTCTACCATAGGGTTCTTGCCCAAATACCAGAGTGTTGCCCAGATGTTGCTGGTGTGATGATGTCACTTCCTGTGCAACACTGGCACTGTGGACTGGGCCTTCCTCTTTCTCCCACTAAATCCCCCCTGCTGCCAGCAGAGCCTGGCAGTGAGGGACCTCGCCTCCACTGGGGGGTCTGGCAACCCTACTATTCAGAGAGCTTCCATGGCAGGGTGGGGATTCAAACCCAGGTGTCCTAGCTAGTCCAACTTTCTAAACAATACGCCATGCTGGCTGTCAGAAACACTAGAGAAGACTATTCCACCATGTACAGTTTACCCCATTGGTAAGTGCTGTAAGTATACCTACTTCCAACCTTTGTGGCCAGTTTGGTGTAGTGGTTAAGTGCGCGGACTCTAATCTGGGAGAACCAGGTTTGATTCCCCACTCCTCCACTTGCACTTGGCTGGATGACCCTGGGCAAGCCGTAGTTCTGATAAGAGCTGTTCTTGAAAAAGAGCAGTTTCTGTCAAGAGCTCTCTCAGCCCCACCCACCTCACAGGGTGCCTGTAGTGGGGAGGGGGAAGGGAAAGGAGTTTGTAAGCCGCTCTGAGACACCTTTGGGTAGTGAAGGGCGGGGTATAAATCCAGTCTCTTCTCTTCTTCTTCTTTCACCAGGGCCATAGCCAGCACTGGGGGCAGTGCCCCATTTCGAATTTGTTGTGCCCCCCACCCTCCTTCCTTCAGTTCACTTACCCCTGCTTCCGGGCAGCACAGTGGCATGGCTTAAGCTCTCCCAAAGCAGTTTACACCGACTGACCGTGGACATGGAGAACGCTAGAACTGTGCAGATGCTTCTGCGTGAGCTCTGGCTGGTGCTGGATCCTTTGCCTGGAATCGGGTCTTTACATGCTGAGCCTACCCTTTGTCCCAACCTCAGCGTGACTGTTGCAGATGTTAGCAACATAGTTTTGAAAGGAAAGGACTAGAAACTTCTGGTGCGCTCTCGCTCCCCCCCCCCTTTATTTTCCACCAGAGGGGGTTCTCTGGCTACAGTGGCGAGACTGTGAGTTCAAATATGAGTTGGTCAATTAATTCACCACTGGGTGGCCATTTTTTCCTTGGCTTTGTATAGTGCGGTTGTATGTAGAGTGTTTCCAGTCAACACCTTTGGGTTTAGACTGGAATCCCAGACTGGAGTGGAGGGAGCGGGAGAGCTTAAGCCAGGGTAACTGAGCGGAAGGAAGGAGGATTAGCTAAGAAAATTAAGGATCCTTAATTTAACTAAGGGTCCTTATTTTGATTACCAGTGGATTTAATTAACAGATTCAATGTGTCTATAATACTAAACAGAGTTACAAAAGTAATTGTCAAAAATGTTGTACAATAACTGAAACATATACCACTTGCACACCAAACTGGAAAAACAAATCACAAGAATCCAACACCAAAGTCGGAAAGATAAAAGCACAACTCTCAAGGAGTCCAAGTAAGATCACAGGCACCGGATGCTGCGGTGCGAGAAGGTTGTGGGAGACTTGACAGTTGTTCCAGTAAGCACTGTTTCCGTTCCTTCTTCAGAAGCCCCGGTTAGAGTTTTAAATTGGAAGGTCTGCCAGTCTGTGCATGTTATTGTACAACGTTGTTAACTATTACTTTTGTAACTCTCTTCAATATTACGGACACACTGAGGGTGATTTCTCACGAGAGCTGCCTCGCAGCACAGCGCCGTTTGCCTCGACACAAACGTGTCAATTTCACACCCGAAGCTCCGGGGCTGCATTTGACTCGGGGCTTCACCCGATTTCCTCCGCAGTTTCATGATCCTCAAAAACCAGGATCACGAAACTGCGGAGGAAATCGGGTGAAGCCCCGAGACAAAATGCAGCCCCGGAGCTTCGGGTGTGAAATTGACACGTTTGTGTCGAGGCAAACGGCGCTGTGCTGCGAGGCAGCTCTCGTGAGAAATCACCCTGTATCTGTTAATGTCTTGTTCATTTATTCCATACATTACATTTAACATTGAGTGTTGTTATATTCTGCATACACGGTGTTTATAGTCTTCTGCTTTCTGTCGTTTGTACACCATGGTCCCATTTGTGTTTTGCTTGTTAACCTCCCGGTGGAGTCTGGAAATCCCCTGAAACTACAACTGATCTCCAGGTATGGTTGCCAGCCTTTGCCTGGCGACTAGCAAGAGGCTTATCAGGGTGATCAACTGATCTCCGTGCTACACAGATCAGTTCCTCTGAAGAAAATGACTGCTTTGGAGGGCAGACAGAGTGTGTGGCATTACACCCCACTGAGGTCTCTCCCCTCGCCAAGGCCTGCTGTTTGAAACATAGAGTTTTCTCTCGGATGACCGCAGCCTCAACCCCGGCGCGCCCGGCGTGGCTGCATCACTTCTGGGTGACGTGCTGACGCCGGGTACATCCCGTGCTTTGGGGGTGGGGTTCCCCCCGGGGCCCGATCCACCGGCGGTGGGGAACGGGCCTCTGGGGCGGGGGTTTCCCCGCCTCCCGGGGGGACTTGGCAAGCCTAGATGTGTAGCATCAGTACATGTGTAGCCTTGTTGTTGTTGTTCAGTCGCACAGTCGAGTCCGACTCTTCATGATCCCATGGACCAGATCACGCCAGGCCCTCCTGTCTTCCGCTGTCCTCTGATACATACCTGTAAAATCCCCTCCACTAGGATTTAGAGGATATCTGGTGAGCTTACTGGTCTGATGGAACAGGGCCTATTTGCAGATGAGCTGTGAGAAAAAAAAACAGACATTTCCAATAATCAGATGGGGGGAGTGGTGCTTGTTTGAGCCATGCTCTCTACCAAACATGGTGTCCCAGACTGTTTACAATTTCACAGCGTGGTTTAAAAAACTAATGTATAGTAAACACATCTGAAGGACTGTCTCTTCCGGTATGAACCTATATATGCCAGCCATAGATCTGCCCATCAACCCCCTTCTGCTTGTTTTCTTCACATGGATGGGTTATACATTCTCTGATAGGAAGCAGGCCTTCTCTGTCATTGCACCCTTGTTATGGAACCTATGCCAAGCACCTCCTTTGATGGTTTTAAGAGGTAATATCACACCTTATGGAAAAGAAATGAGATCTTGGTTGCCATTTTGGGGGGTTGCCTAGTAACCACGATAAACACTGAGCAGCAGCAGGAAGCTCAGGAGGAGGAAGATGGTGGGGAGGGTAAAGGAAGGGCAGAGGCTGTGGAGGGTAGGGTTGCCAGCCTCCAGGTGGGGCCGGGGGACCTCCCACTTTTACAACTGATCCCCAACTGACAAAGATCAGCTCCCCTGGAGAAAATGGCTGCTTTGAAGGGTGGACTCTATGGCATTCTACTATGCTGAGGCCCCTCCCCTCCCCAAACTCCACCCCCTCCCGGTAGGGTTGCCAAGTTGATTTTTGCCGGGAGCAGGAGGCTCCCGGCTGGCATCTGGTGCGCGCTCGCGCAGAGCACGCACACACCGCACGCACGTCACCTGGAAGTGACAGGAGGATGCCAGGCACGCTGGGGGCGGGGCCACCATAGAGTTTTCCCTTGAATGGCCGTGGCCCCGCCCCTAGCATGCCTGGCGTCCTCTCGTCACTTCCGGGTGACGCACACGTCGGGGTGGAGTTCCCCCCGGGGCCCGATCCGGCGGTGCCAGGCAACGGGCCTCTGGGGCGGGGGTTTCCCCACCCCCCGGGGGGACTTGGGATCTCTACCTCCCGGATCCACCCCCAAAGTCTCCAGGTATTTCCCAACCCAGACCTGGTAACCCTAGTGGAGGATGAGGGGAAAAGGTGTCAGGAAGGAGCTAGCAACAGAGGAGGAGTGTGGGGAGGGCAGCAGAGAGAAGGACAAGAAAGGGGGAATTGAGTGGTAAGCCAGTAGGGAGGTGGTTTCATAGAATGTTAGAGTTGGAAGGAACCTTGCGGGTCATCTAGTCCAACCCTCTGCACTCTTTCTTGTTCCTTGGTGATCCCCACTTGTTTGTTTGTTTTTTCTGCATCAACCAACAAGAAAGAAAAATTTGCCTGCTCCCAGGTGCCCCCATCTTCTGAGTTCAGGTGGGTGGCAACCCAAGAGAGGGCCTTCTCAGTTGTGACCCCAAAACTATGGAACTCTCTGCCCAGGGGTATCCCCCTGTTCCCTTATGTTTTATTCTATCTGGCATGCGTTTCAACTCTTGTTTTAGTGTTTCAACGTACATATTTTACTTTGAGTTTTAATCATTTTTAAGGAGTGTTTTTAATCATGACTTGTTTTAACTGTTGGCCTCATTGATGGCCTTAACTGGGCAGAAAGGCAGCATAAAACTCTAGTAAACAAATTAATTAATTAAATACATTTTGTAAAAAAAAAAAACCAGCCTGTTAATCATGTGGGGTTAACCTGCCACCAGGTGGGGCCTGGAGTTCTCCTGAAATTACAACTGATTTCCAGGTAAGGTTTTCAGCCCTTACTGGGGTGGCAGAGGGGCTCCAGAGGGGCAGTGAGGCAGAAATAGCACTGCAGATGCAATGAGTTCGTTTTGGCCGAAAGCCAGCAGTGAAATCACAGAGTTGTGTTGGGATCCCTAGAGTGTCACGTAGAGTGTCACTCGATGTCCCTTCGAGTTTTCAGAAGCACGCACAGCAGCTGTACCACTTACTTCTTTCCTCCCACTGCCAAATTTACCGGCAGTGGCAATGGGCTGAGGCAACCTGGAGGGGCCATTGCCTGATGCCAGCTGGTAATTAGCAACCTCTAGCTCCAGATTGTAGAGATCAGTTCCCCTGAATGGCAGCTTCAGAGGCACTACATCCTAGCTGACCTCTCTGCCACCCCCCAAACTTGGCCTTCCCCAGACTCCACCTCCATATCACCAGGAAATTTCCCAAGCCAGAGTTGGCAACCATCTTATCATGAGATAATTTCACAATAAACCAAATTCTTTTGAAAACTAAATTAATCTACTACTACGTGTTGCGATGAGTTTCACTGAAAGCCACCTAGAGCAGGCGTGTCAAACATAAGGCCCAGGGGCCAGAACTGGCCCATCCAGGGCTCTTATGCGGCACACGAGCAACTAGTGCAAGGGAGGGAACAGGAGACTGCTCGGGAGGCGGGGAGTGTGACTTCAGCATGGCAGAATGACCTTGCGTGCAGCAGTCAAGCAGCATGGGAGCGTCTCCCCAGTGCTGCACCACTGGCTCTCCAGTCTGCCCGTATGGGTTTTCCTTTGCACACACACACACACACACCAGCCCATGGGGCCTTGCAGTGAGGATGCACCAACTTAGAGCTTACCAGCTGCTGTCCTTCATACGGTTTATATCTCTGGTACCTGGCATTACATTTATGGCACAAATAGTCCAGCCCAACAAAGTGACATTTATGTCAGATCCAGCCCTCATAACAAATCAGTCAGACACCTCTGGCCTAGAGGCTTTAGAAAGGCAGAAAATACAAGTTGTTTTTTTCTGAGGGATCATGCCAGAACAGATTTCCAGAACCTCTTCAACAAAATTCTTTTTAAAATGTTTAAAAGTTCATGAGTTTTCAGAACACAGATTGAAAATTTCATTTCCCTCTTGAGAGTTCCGGCACCTCTTTTTTAAAAAAAAAAAAAAACCCTGTATATTACCATCTTTTTTCAAAGGACAGTTGTGTCAAAAATATTTTCTTTTTTTTATAAAAAAAAGGACTATAAACAGAAAACGTTAAAAACAGAGGTAATAAAAAAATAACTGAGGCTGTTATCAATAAGGACCAACAAAATCAGCCAAATCAGATAAATGTCTGTGTGCTGCCTAGGGCTGCCAAGTCTCGTTGAATCGCGGCGGGGGATCATCATTCTTTACAGGAGCTCTGCCGCGGGGGACGGCAACAGGCGTTGCACCACCGTCGCCAGGATGTGACGCTACGCGTCGCTCTGGCAACGAGACTCCAAACAGCCTTGTTGCCAGAGGGACGCGTAGCGTCACATCCTGGCGACGGCAGTGCAACGCCTGTTGCTGTCCCCCGCGGCAGAGCTCCTGTAAAGAATGACGATCCCCCGCCGCGATTCAACGAGACTTGGCAGCCCTAGTGCTGCCCCAGCCAGCGTTTAACTGTAGTTAAGTAGAACTGCCATATCTTTAAGAGCAGCGGTCCCTAGGAATTGAAGTCTTTAATTAGACATCCCACAGCATCTCTGCGACTGGCTGATTAACAGTCATTTCCGGCACAAAGAGGCATGAGGATTTGAGTTTACAGCTCTCTTCCAGTGGCCTTTGTTCTCTTTAAACGGCAAGGAGATGGGAATGCGCAATCCTTTTCACCATAAGCCAGTGAACTGAATTAGATTACAAAAGATCTGAATTTAACCAGTTATTCAGCCTGATTGACTGTAAGTAAGGACATCTTCTGAATGCATATGGAATTTAATAATAAGTTATTTAATTCTACTTTGCTATGGCCGTGTGTTGAATCACGTCCAGAAAGCGCTGTTGACTTCCGACTTAGCGCTAGACGGAACAGTCTGGAAAACCAGCAAGTCTTAATCTGGTGCCAAAAACTCAGAAGGCTTCGCACCAGGTAAATGGATCATGTTGGGAAGTTATTCAATCATCAAGATGCCACCAGAGAAGAAGCCCTGTCTCCTGTGTGGTGGTGGGAAGTGCTGCCAAGTCACAGCTGACTTAGGGTGACCCTGTGGGGGTTTTCAAGGCAAGAGATGTTCAGAGGTGGTTTTGCCATTGCCTGCCTCTGTGTAGTGACCCTGGTATTCCTTAGAGGTCTCCCATCCAAATACTAGCCAGGGCAGACCCTGCTTAACTTCCAAGATCGGACAAGATCAGGCTATCTTGGGTTATCCTGTCTCCTGTAGTCACCCAATAAAAAGGAATGGGAGCATCTCAGAAGTCAGAAAAGTCCCAAAACATGGTCAGGAGAGTCATTAGGATTGCCACCTCTGGGTTGGGAAATACCTGGAGATTTGGGGTGTGGAACCTGAGGAGAGTGGCATTTGGGGAGGAGAAGGACTTCAATGGGGTATAATACTATACAGTCCACCTTCCAAAGTGGCCATTTTCTCCAGGTGAATTCATCTCTGCCACCTGGAGATCAATTGTAATCCCAAGAGGAGGAGGAGACTGGATTTATATCCCATCCTTCATTAGGAGTCTCAGAGCAGCTTACAGCAGGGGTGTCGAACTCATTTGTTATGAGGGCCGGATCTGACATAAATGAGACCTTGTTCAGGTGTGTATCTGTAAGCTGCAAACCTACGATGATGCAGCAGCAGCAGAACTGGAAGAAGAAGCAGAAGACAGCCAGTTCCACTTTGGGCCTGATCCAGCCCCCGGGCCACATGTTTGACACCCCTGGCTTACAGTCTCCTTTTCCTTCCTCTCCCCACACCCTGTGAGGTAGGTATGGCTAAGAGAGCTCTAAGAGAACAGCTCTGAAAGAACTGTGACTGACCCAAGGTTACCCCAATGGCTGCATTTTGAGGAGTGGGGAATCAAACCCAGTTTTCCAAATTAGAGTCTGCGGCTTTTAACCACTACACGAAACTGGCTCTCCAGTAGCACCTTAAAGACTCACAAAAATTGTGGTATCTGAAGATGTGAGCAGTGACTTATGAAAGCTGTTACCCTGCCACAATTTTTTTTAGTCTTTAAGGTGCTATTGGAATCTGAACTCTTGCTCTTTCCAGTGGCTACTACAGCTAAGTAAAAGAACATTATCAAATTCACAGTGGCCCATGACATAACAATGGCTTACCTTTAGGATCCCCAGTGGCCAACATCTCCCAGAAGATGCAGTAACCAGTGGGTATGTCCTCATCTTGAGCGGGAAGTGTGCTAATCTGGAAGAAACTTTCCCCTGTATAAACAGGCCACAACCTTCCTTTTTCCCCATCAGGGAACCTGTGAGGGGACAAAATGTTTACCAATCAGGTCCAGATGAGGGAGGTAAACAGGGAGGGAGACAGAGAAGAGGGTGAGGGACAGACTTTTTTTAGCTGAAGCAGTGACACAGCCAGTTAAGCCAGCCATAGTGTGTGTGCGCGCGCGTGCGTGCACATGTGTAAACTGCAGATCACATATGAAGAAGTGGGCTGCAGCCCAAGAAAGCTTATGTTGTGATAAAAACTTGTTAGTGTTCAAGGTACCACAAGGCACCTGATTATTTTTCTGCAACAGACTAATACAGCTACTCCTCTGGAATTAATAACTGGGATGCTAACCTTTGTTGGACTCAAATATTTGTGGCATGTCCACAGAACTGTCTGCTGGTTCAGTATTAGCATGGGGTATCTCTTAATTAGCATGGGGTATCTGGAGCTATTCCATGGGTAAAAGGCCTTAGGTATGTTTCAGAGCATTTTGCAAGATAATGACTTGGATCCATGGGAGCTTTTCCCATGCACTCAAGCATTTCTGCCTGTGGAGCATGACTTTGAGCAAGCAGTGATCAGGGATTGTGAGTTGCCAACCTCCAGGTGAAGGCTGGAGGTCTCCTAGTATTGCAATAGATCTCCAGACTACAAAGGTAGTCCCCTGGAGAAAATGGCTGCTTTGGAGGATGGACTTTATGGCATTGTACCCTGATGAGATCCCTCCCCTCCCCAAACCCCGCCCTTCCCAGGTTCTGCCCCCCACATCTCCAGAGTTCCCAACCCAGAGCTGGCAACCCTACACTTTGGGCCTCCTTGGTGGTGGTACCCTAGTTGCCAAATATTCTCTCCAGGGATTGTTGGTTGGTGTCTACTGGAGAGCTTTTGTTCACCAGGTAAACAAAGGTTTATTCTCCTGAGCTTTCAGTGTTTCATATATGCTTTCCCGCTCCCCATCTCTGCATTTATAACTGTTTTTATTTTTGATGGTTTGCTGTTATACCATTGTACTGTTGTGGTTGTTTTTTGCTTTCAGCTCTGTTGTTAGCCACCATAGCAGCATCAGCTACAAAGGCCCCGGTCACACGAGAGGTTTTGGGCCGGGAGAGGGACAGATTGGGGGCGCAGCAAACGGGCGCGATCCCACCACAACATCTGGAAAGTGTTGCGCACCCGTCCCCGATCCAGCCCTTCCGCCCAAAACACGCAGCAAAAATAAACCACCTACCGAGGTGGTTCTTCTGGCAAGGCCGCATCAAGGCTAGCCGTGGGATCACCGGCGCGTCCTTTCGCCGGCGCATCCTCGGCTCCTGGCCGAACTGCGCATGCTCAGACATGCGCAGTTCGGTAGCCTCCCGTCACTGTCTCCCCGGTCTCCCAGGCATCTGATCATGCCGGGGAGCAATTGCGCTGCAGCTCATGGGATCTGTATGATCCCGCCGCCACATGCCTATTTTGGTGCAGCTTTTGAAAGCCGCACTTTTGCCCGACTTTTTTTCCCCGTGTGGCAGGGACCAAAGTAGGACAAAAGTTCTGAATTAGTTTTTCAAGGCCTCCGCTATGTTGCAAAGAATTTTGCTTAGTGAAAAGTGATAAGAATCAGATAATGTAAATAAAGGCAATAGACCTGAAAGAGAGATCAGCACTAAAACTGGAATCCTTCTGTTCATGAAGGGGGTTAGTGCAGGACTGGCAACCTCCAAGGGCTGACTGGAGATCTCCCGCCGATCTCCAGGGATCAGTTCCCCCAGAGAACATGGCCACTTTGGAAACTCTATGACATTATACCCCGCTGAAGTCCCTCTCCGGCCCAAGCCCCGCCCTTCTCAGGCTCCACCCCCAGAATCTCCAGGTATTCCCCAACCCAGAGCTGGCAACTCCTAAGTGAGAGCCAGAGGGGAGACAAAGATAAAGAAATGGGGTGGTTGTGGGAGGGATCACTTACCCGGTCTTTACAAACTCTCCCCAATACCGCATAACCCTTTGGCTCAATTTGACTTCAACTGGTTGGTATGTGACGTTGCCACCTGCCCCAGACAGCAGGTCACCAAACATGTAGGGCAGCTCAGCACAGTGGGGCACCCCAATCCAGTCAGCTACAACAGATGTGAAGGAGGGGCGGTGCCTGAAAAAGTACGCAAAAACCGGGCTCCCAGAGTCTGCCATTGCGCCAGCCACCACAGCCACTGGGCACAAGAAGAGATAGTCCCCTGAAGCTCTGATCAAAGCATTTCGATGCCGCGCCTCCCCTTGCTCCCCCTGATTATAGATGATGTCGGCCATCTCAATTGTGCCATCAGAAGCATCCGGAAGCAAGAGACGGAGGCCTTCCAGTAGTTGCTGGTGGTTGATCAGACTGTTGTTGTATAAGCTAAAACCAGGAGCGCTAGATGAGAGAAACAGGGAACCCTCCGTGGAAGTGAAGCCAGTCAGGACAGGTTTAACTGGAAAACTCCCCGCATCCAGAAGTTTCCGGGGAGCATCTGGGAGGAATTCCCCATCTGTCGTTGGCACAAAGACAGTATCCAACAACATCTTCTGACTTAAGAGAGGCAATTTCTGCATAATCTCTCCTGGTTTTTTCCTCTGCAGACAGCTCACAATGATTCTGTTGCTGTTCCCGCTGCAGCCAAGTATGTGGCCCAGGTTCCTCCCTCTCACCTCGGCCTCTTCAGGGCTCACCCAAGCCCAGGGGGAAATGGAGGCTCCACTTTGCAAGGTGGCCTGAGCAAAGAAATCCTGGCTCACTGGAGAGAGAAGATGAAAGCCGACAGATGCAGCCCCAGCGCTTTGACCACCCAGGGTTATGTGAGCCGGATCCCCGCCAAAGGCAGCCATGTTCTCCTTCAGCCAGCTCAATGCCAGATGTTGGTCCCACAAGCCAATATTCCCTGGAGCATCTGGGAGCAGTGAGAGAAAGCCCAAGGCACTTAGACGGTAGTTCATAGAAGCCACAATGATATTCTCAGTAGCAGCCAAGAAGCTTCTGTCGAGGGCACCACTCCCACTGTAGAAGCCACCTCCATGGATCCAGACCAGAACTGAGGCTGGGGCAGAAGGCCGAGGATGAGGAACCCAAATGTTGAGGAAAAGGCAGTCCTCAGAGAGTGGCAAGGTGGAGTCTGACTCTGAATATAGTTCTTGATTGTAGCTGGAAGGGCCTAAACTCTGCTGGTAGCAGGAGCTGCCAAAGCTGGTAGCCTCCAGGATGTGGCTCCAAGGCTGGTGAGGACGAGGCTTTTGAAACCGCAGGCTTCCCACAGGAGGTTCAGCATAAGGGATGCCCAGAAAAGCCGTCACCATGCCAGAGGATGTTGTGAGGCGCTTGCCTTGGACAGGACCGCTGCTAGTGACCACCACGGTA